TACCCCTCCTCCTATCTTACCCCTAAGGCCCCTCCTCCCTTCCCCCCATCCATCCCACTTCCTCCTATGGTCTCACTCCTTCTGGCCGAAGTCCATCTGCTTCCATCAGAAAAGGCCAGACCAGCTGCCTCGAATACCTGAATGGCATTGTCCCCACCCCCAGGCCCACAGCCGAGGTCATAGCTGTTCATCACTTCAAAGACCTAGCAAGAAAAGACAGGGATGTGGCAGAGACGAGTGCCTTGAGGGGCAGGACTGGCTGTGGGTGAGAGGGCAGGGGATGGACAAACATACGAGGCAGGCGGTGGAGAAACCGACCACAGGGAGCACAGTGCGAGGCGGGGGGAGTTGGGGGCCGCCTGAGTGAGGTCCAGGGCCGGGCCGCAGGCTCCGGGCTCTGGCTCAGGCGGCGGGAGAATGCGTCCTAGAGGACGAGGGTGGGGTGGGGGGCGTCTTAACAAACCTTGCCCATGTCAAGGGGCTTGTGGGCTCTGCCACCCACAGCATACAGAGCCGTGTCCACAGCTCCCAGTGCCACCAGGGCCGGAGAATCAGTGTGCAGGTAGAGCTTCACGGTGTCCCCAGGACGATAGTCCTTGCGACTGTCCACGCTCAGCTCCAGCTGGCAGAGGCGGGAGGTGGGGCAGTCAGAGTGGGGGGAGCTTTTCTTTTCTTTTCTCTTCACCACCCCATCTCTCCCGATGGGTTGGTTACCTTGCCCTCACAGGCTCCAGCCTGGACGTCCACTCGCAGGGAGTTGGCTACTGGGAGGCCCCCGTGGTAGTAGAAAGCCACAAAGTAGAAGGAGGGTGCCAGGTGGTGGTCCACAAGCACCGAGACCGAGGTCAGGGCCGTCCTGGGCTCTCGACTCACAGACATGATCTGGCCCCGAGACAGGATCTGGGCAAGAGTGGTCCCCTCTTCACTGCGCATCCCCAGCACCGAAACCACTCCCCACTAGAGGGCTCTCTCCTGCCCAAGCTGCTCCCTGCACCCTGCCCTCCTCCACAACCCGGCTCATGCACACCATGTAGTAGTAATGAGAGAAGCTGGCCCCACTGATGCCCACGGCTTGTAGGTTCAGGTGGAGCGTGTCCCCAACTCGCGGGGATTGAGGATCCAGCCGTTCAATGGACAGAAACCCAGGGCTTCCTGAGGGTGGGGCTTGCACGGTGAGCTTGGCTGTAGCTGGATGCGGAGAGCCTGCAGACACCTGGAGGGAGGGGTGGGGTGGGGGCCGCAGGGCCGTGGGTGCTCAGGAGCACAGCCTGCCCTTCTTTCCCTCCCCGGGCTCTCCTGCGGGTCAGAGTCCTACCAAGAGCTGCACTTCTGAGGTGGTCTGAGGGACAGAAATGGACATGATGACTTGGCCTCTCCCATTTGTGTGTTGCTGAAGCTGATGTATTGTAGGAGAAGCAGAACCAGTAAACAATGTGGCAGAAACTTTGACAGGAATGCTGGAGACAGGGGAGCCTGACATGTCCCGGACCAGGGCCTAGGTGGGCAGGGAGGGGCAGGTCAAACAGTGGTCAGAAAGGCCTCGGGCCCTCCTGACGACCACACTCCCCCCAACCCCCTGCCCTTGCAGAAGAAACCTGCAGCAAGAACTGGGCCCCAGGCACAAGGTGTCGCTTGGTATGGCTAAGATCCAAGGAGAAGGGAGATGACACAAAACGCCAGGACGTGAGCTCTGCCTCCTCCATCTCTCCCCCTGCAAGACATGAAGCAGAGGGGTGGAGGGGGGACCCAGGAAGAGGGGCAGCGGAGCAGAGGGAAGCAGCTCAAAGGTTTCCTGCCCACAAGACAGTGAGCTCCTCAGGGCGCAGGCAGTCTCCCATTTATCTCTATGTTTGCTGAGCCACACAGGACCCAGCACACAGATGGAGCATAACATGTATCTGCTGGGTGAATGGATGGAAGGACAGGTGGATGGATGGACAGATGGGTGGGAAAAAAAATAAACTGAGACGGGGGAAGGTGCTGTTTCCCCAGAAACCACCCAGAAGCACAGGTGGAGAGAGACAGTCTCCTGGGTCTTCCGTGCCTGTGGGTCTCAGAGGACGGTAAGAAAGGTGAGGGGTGGTGTCAGTGCTGGGGAACAGAGTCAGCTCAGAGGTCAGAGGCCAGGGCCTGGGGTCATCATCAGGCGAAGCTGCTCACCTGGAGACTCAATGATGGCTGCTGCCACATAGAGGCGCAGCCCTGGGAGGTCGGTCAGACGAATGTTAAGCTTCTCCAGGGCATCCTGAACCTCAGCCTTCGAGAGGGAGATGTGACACTGGCCCTCTACCAGCTGGGGCAAACAAGAAAGCAGAGCCTGGGTTGATACCTGAGTCTCCCACCTCGTGTCCTCCCCTCCCCTCACCCTCACACCCCTCCCCTCACCCTCACCCCTCCTACCCTCCTTCCTACCCTGGTCTGATTCTCCAGTCCCCGAAGGAAAGTCTTGTCACCGTTCTCACCCAGGAGTCCAAAGCGCACATATGCCACCCCCTGCACTGGCTTCCCGTAGATGTACCTGCGGCCGCAGAGAGATTGGGCGCAGGCTGGGTGGGGGGGCTGGGGCGAACGATGGAATCGGGGTGGGGGGGGCAGTGGTGGATGAGGGAGGGAAGTGGCACGTTCACAATGAATGGGGAGCCCTGGGAGCAGGGCCCGGAGTTACCTGGCCTGGATGTCTAACTGGATTTCATCAAGAATGCCAGGGGCTGTCAGGATGTAGGGCTTTCCAGGGACGATCTTCACCTCAAAGTTAGGAAGGACTGACCCAGGGCAAAGAGGTAGGCGAGTCAGGCTCTAGTGGAAGGGCCCTTTAATGACTCCCCCCACCCCTCAGGGCGGCGGCACCCGTATTTCCCTGCCCCTGCCCTGCTCCCACCACCTCTCCTTCAGCCCTTACTCCCTGCAGGAAAGGAGCTGCTTGGCCCTCACATCTCCAGCTCTCACCATATTTCTTCACCTCAAACTGGGTGCTGCTGTTGGATTCCGGGCCATCTGAGAATCGGGCTGAGATCTTCCAAGTCCCTGGCCTGAGGACAGACAAGGGAGGGACTCAGCCCACTTGCGCAAGAGGGCCTGGGAGAGCCAGCAGCCTGGCTCCCTGCAAAAGGACTGTGGGGTAAACCGGAGGCCCAGGGAGCTGGGGTCTGACTCTGTGTGTTGGAGGACAGAGCAGGGGAACCAGGAATGGGGTGGGGCAGCTGAGGCGAGAGCTCACTCTGAGATGTCCGGGATCACAAAGTCATCCTGGAAGATGGATGTGGGAGCATACACCTGCTTCTTCCGCACACGGAGGCCATGAGAGTTCTGCAACGGGAGGAAAAGTGTCATGGCTGGGAGGTCAGATCAGTGGCCCCAGCTGATCAGGAAGGGCAGAGGTCAGGGACTCACCTCCACAGTGACCGTGAGGGTGTCCGTGGATGGGCGCATCTTTTGGTCCAGGGCAAAGACCCGGTATCGAACTGGGAGTGGAGGGGGAGAGGTAAGCAGCAGTCCACGTGGGCAGGGAGTGAGGGGAGGACAAACGTTTGCGAGGCAGCCTTCCTGTGCAGCGCACTTTCAGATTGTCTCACAGAAGGAGATGTGAGGGAGTTCAAGGACGAGGCCCTGGGGCTGAGACTCACCCCGCTGGCCAGGGTTGTAAATGGGCTGGTCGGTCTGCAGGAAAAGGTGCCCCCGGCGAGAGGAGAAGAGAAGGTTGATGCCCTGAATGTCTATCCCTTTCAACAGAGTGCTCCTCAGCCATGGCGACTGGGCCACGAGCTGGACCTGGGGGCCTCCGAGGAGGCTGTGGAGGCCACAGCTCTCAGCACCTTTGGGGGATGTCTGTCAGGAAAAGGGGAGGGAAAGGAAGTGGGTCAGAGACAGAGCAGGAGAAAGCCAGAGAGGCTGAGACAGAAACGGGGAAGGAGACCTTTGCCTGAAAGGAGCGACAGGGAGGGATGCCAGCGAGAAGACAGGCACGGAAGACAGAGGGGACAGAGTGGGAGGCGCTAAGAACAGCGGGAGGGAGTGGCATCCAACTACCTGGAGGCTGACGAGAATAAAGTCTTTTTCTGAGGTGAGGATAAAGTCCACCTTCGGGGAGCAGGAGACAGCAAGATTGTTCGGATTTCTCAGGAACACTGTCCCTTTTACTTCCTGTCCCGGGGGGGCATCCTGGAGCTGCAGCCCCACCGACAGGGGGACCCCCAGGTGAACCACGGAAGGAGAGAACAGGAGCAACCTGGGGAGAGGTCGGGGTCAGCAGTCAGCCTCCCCTCTTCCGCCCCTGCCCCGACTCTGCAACCCTGGCCCCCTGCCTCTGGCACCTGGGCTTCTGCAGAGAGAAGGCGAAGAAGCTGGACGCCCAGATCAGCCCCCAGAGGAGCCTCATGGCTGGAAGACCCAAGAGGGATCAAACACGTCTGTCTGTCTGCTCCTTTCTGGTCAGCCTCGTGTGTGAAGCAGGGTTGACTCTGGACCTTGCTCCTCCCCCAGCCCAGCCAAGCCGGGAAACCACGTGACAGCCCAGAAATGCAACTGGCCCCAGGCCCAGTGTTAGGGGTGGACACCCCAGCCACCTGGGTCTCTGGGGGAATCAGGAAATCACAGCCCAGAGTCATGCCCTCCCTGTTAACCCATCTCATCCCCGTACCCTGGGCACCCCTACGGGGCATACCCGGGTGAGTGCTCGAACGTGCTCAGTATCGGAGGGCGCAGTGCACAGCTGGAGAAACGAGGCTCCTGGTCCTGGCCCTAATACAAGGGGAGGGGACACTGGCCTCTTCCATGACCCACAAAAACTGCACTACATCAGGCCTTTGCTCTTTGCAGGCCCCGACAGAAACTCTGTGCTTTAGATCAGGCACACCCTCACCACCCCACAGGGAAAACTGACCTCAACACCCCTTTTTCCCTCCAAACAATGAGGCACAGGTTAGGCCCAAGTGTGGCCTTACCTCTACCCCAAAACGAGAAGCACACAGCACATTACACAAGACACCCAGGAAACAGCACCATCAGAAACACTTTATTTGGCAGCTTCAACCCAACATGTAGGGAAGAGAACCCCGCCCTCCCCCACCAGTCTCCTCAGAAACCCCACCTTCCTAGCCCAGGACAGTTAACAGCAGCACCTTGCTGCACGAAAGGCAGCAGCCATGGCCTTGGCACGTCTTCTGACTCCACTTCCACGGAAGGGCAGAGCAGCACCGCCCAGACCCCACCACTGGCTCGGAGCCCAGGTCAACAGCAGCAGTCACGTCTGACATCACACTCGAGAGTCCAACACTCACGGTCCTAGCCCCAAGCTTTGCAAGGTGACCCTGTCTCGGCCACCACTGGGCAACACTCCCGGGCCCCTCTCGCTCCACTGCGGGGAGGTCTGCCACGATGAGTGGAATCCTCACGTCTCCGGCAGGCGCAGGAGGGTTCCAGAAGTGGTGGAGACACTGCGCAAGAGAAAGACATGGTGGGATCCAGATGCGCAGGCCCAAGGTCTGGGGAGAACTCAGACCTTGGCCAGGGATGTTCCTGGGTTCCAGGGGAGAGAAGAGCTGGGCTTCCCTAGTGAGGAAAGCAACAGTGGGGAGGAAACCCAACTACACTTTGGGTCATTGCTCTGCCAACTGCTAGAAGCTGGAGGCAAGACTCACCAGTCCACCAGCTGGGCCCCAATGAGGTCATGCACGTGGTAGGCGAGGCCCAGTTTCACCGAGGCAGGCACCCGCCGGCCCAGGAGCTCTGAAAGGAGTAGCTCCCGGTACTTGGCCTTCCGAACCATGCCAAGGACAGCCTGGCGCCCTGGAGGAGAGATGGCACAGGAGTGCGGAGTAAGGCCTACAGGCCAGAGAAGCGACTGAAAGGTGTTTTTGAGGGGATGAGGGCTGGAGTTGTAGACAGGATACCTTTAACAAAATACTTAATGAATCTCCCAGCTCCAGGAACAGCCAGCCACCAACTCCCAGCATCTCGGACGGTGAAGATTCCAGCGTTCACCAGCTGCCTAAGCAGGTGGGAAGCCAGGAAAGATGAGGCCTTGGCTCTGAGAATCCTCTCTCCTCCCCGTCTGCTTATGTTTGGACTCTGTCTCCAGAAACACAAGCAACCCAGCAAAGGGACTGGATAACAGATACCCCACCCCACCCAGCAGTTCTCCGATCCCATTCACCTGCCCAACTGCCCTTCCCCCACTCTTTACCCGCTGCTAGTTCCCCAAAACTGCTCTCAGAAGCCTTCCCTGACCACAAGCCCTGACACCCTCAGTCCCACCAGAAATAAGGGTCTTTTTTTCTGTGCTCCTGCCACTGACTACGCATACTTCACCACAGCTCCTCCCACATCTACTGAGAAATTCAGAAAACGCCTTCACATGCACCGTGGGTTACGAAACAGGGAGCCCGAGCCAGGGACATTGATATCAGCCCTGCACTGATAATTTCATCTCACCCACGCCTGGTTGTTGTTCCTTTGAAAGTGAGTGCTTTAGCTCCTACCACTCCTGTTCTTAGTATCAGCAAGATTCACATCAGGCATTTGTGGTCCCTGCAGGCCTCTAGATGCGTCTGATTAGCCACCCAGATGGCCTGAATTTTAATCCAGGGCTCTTTCCAAGGCCCCAGGTAAGACAGGTGTCTTACCTGGGGGGAATAATACAAATTTAGATCATTTTACTAAAATTTAAAAAAAAAAGTAAACCTTTTGGGCAGGTTCAGCAAAAGGAAAAGGACAAGGCTGGATGGGAGGGAGGCAGGGAGGTGCCAGATGCCTGATTTGATTGGTTCCCCAAGTCCCCAAGTCTCACGTGATCTCTGTGTCTGTGAAGCCAAAGGTCTGCGTCATTTGGTCCTGCTGGAAGCTAAGGTCCCTACAGGCTGGAAGCACCGAAGCCAGAAACTTCTGCACAGCCCCAGCATATGATCGGCCACTGCAGGCCTTGAGGACCTGGAACCAGAGATGAGAGATTGGTGTGGCCCTCCCCCACTCCCCAGTGGCCTCTTTTCCAGGACATTTACCTGCAGGTGGGAGGCAGATTCCCTTCTGCTGAGTTCCTTCCAGCTTCCATACCTTTCCTCCCCCTCCTCCCTCTTATTACTATTTAGCAGAGCCCTGTCCTGTGCCCTCTGTGAGCTATGGAGTAGGAGAACGGCCTCTTTTCTTTTTACTTCCTTTCCCCAGTCTCCTGCCCGCCCACCCCACGCCCCATGACACACACAGTTGCACGCACCCTGGTCCTATAGTCCTCGGTGAGAATGATCCCATGGGCATCCAGGTCGAAGCCTAGCTGGACGACTCTGATCTCCCCCTGTTCCTGAAGTTCCTTCTGTCTCCAGAAAGATGGGAATGGAAGGAAAAGTGTCAGGGTGAGATGCTCCCCTAGACTCTGCGCACCTGGCCCACACTGGGGAGTTTTTCTCTAAGTAAAGGAAAAGCTGTGGGGAGCGAATCAGGAGAATCACCAGAGTCTTTCCCAACTGGTCACCCACCCACCTCATCTGTAGTGTCGAACTATCAGTAAGCATTTTCTAAGACTACTCATTTGCCTGACACTAAAGGTAAAACAGTGATTAAGACACAAGCCCTGGCCTTAAGGAATTAACAGTCCAGACTTGGGGTAGAGGAAAGTGGAGAGGAATACAAGATAAAAGGTTTAAAACAAATAAAAATCAACTAGGAATACAGCAAGAACCAACCTACCTGCTGAAAATTAATTAAAATGCTGGATAAAATATTATTTTTTAAATTGTTAAGCATCAAAGAGCTCACAAAATAATAAGTGAACAAAAGAATTCATAGAAGTAATTGGAATGTGGAAGACATGTGATGATTTAGGCAACTCTGTCCAGCACAGTCTGAAATAACTGGACACACAAGGAAACAAATTCAAAAGAAACAGACAACAGAAACAGACCCCAAAAGACATGTTATCAAGAAATTATCAAAAACAGACTATTAAAGCTCTGGCTGGGTAGCTTAGTTGATTAGGGCATTGTCCTGATATGCCAGGGTTGCGAGTTCAATCTCCAGTGAGGGCACATACAAGAAGCAACCAGTGAATGCATAAGTAACTGGAGCAACAAACACGTTTTCTTGCTTTCTCTCTCTCTTTCTCATCAATAAATAAAAAAATATATATTTTTTAAAAGCCCCTATGTTCATAATGCTGAAATAAATAAAAGCCAAGATAGAGTTTTTCAGCAGGAAATTATAAAAATTGACATGACAGCCCTGGCTGGTGTGGTTCAGTGGACTGAGTGCTGGCCTACAAACCAAAGGGTCCCAGGTTCCATTCCCAGTCAGGGTACATGGGTGGGTTGCAGGCCAGGTCCCCAGTGGGGGGCATATAAGAGGCAACCACATATTAATGTTTCTCTCCCTCTCTTTCTCCCTCCCTTTCCCTCTAAAATAAATAAAATCTTCTTTTTAAATTACCTAAAAAATCAACATAATATATTTTAATAGAAATTTAATAGAAATTCCACATAGAAATTCTAGAACTGGAAAGTGCAATTAAGGACTCAATGGATGGGTTTAATGAATTAAGACACAGCTAAATAAAAAGCTACTAATCTGCAAGACAGATCAAAACAATTAACCACACTATAGTAAAGACAGTCAGAAGACAGAAAATGCAGACAAGAGACTAAGAGACTTAAAGGACACAGAGAGAAGGTACAATGTATAACACACCCACAACCAGGACAGTGCATTAATCCAATTCCATTAACTCATAGAACAACAGACAAAATAAGCAGTGAGGAGCCAGAAGACTTCAACAGTAACACATTACTAAGAAATTAATAACTGAATATACCTATTCTTCTCAAATATACGTACAATATTTAACAAAACTGACCACAAAAGGCAAAGCAAGTCTCAGTAAGTTTCAAAGGACTGAAATCATATGTTCTCTGGCCACAATATCATTTATGCCAGAAATCAGTAACAACAAAGTAATAAGAAAATGTTTAGACATTAAGACACATTACTAACCAACCCAATGAATAAAAGAAAACAAATCATGAACCAAATTAGAAGACATTTTAAAATGAATCATAATGAAAATATATAACAAAATTTGGGGAGACAGATAAATCTCAATATTTAGTGGAAAACTACAGCTGCCCTGCATTTATCTATTAGAAGAGAGAACAGCCCTGGCTGGGTGGGTGAACTGGTTGGAGCAACGTCCCTTACATCAAAAGGTTGAGGGTTCGACTCTCAGTCAGGGCACACACCTAGATTGTGGATTCAATCCCCAGTCGGGGTATGTACAGGAGGCAACTGCTTAATATTTCTTTCTCACATGGATGTTTCTCTGGATTTCCTTCTCGCTCTTTCTCCACCCCCCTCCCTTCCTTTCTCTAGAATAAAATAAAAAAAATCCTCGGGTAAGAATTGAGAGAGAGAGAGAGAGAGAGAGAGAGAGAGAGAGAGGGAGAGAGGGAGGGAAATAGCCATGGCTGGTGTGGTCAGTTGGTTAGAGCGTCATCCCGTAACTGAAGGGTTGCAGGTTCGATTCCCAGTCAGGGCATGTACCTGGGTTGTAGGTTTGATCCCTGGTCAGGGTGCATAAGATCCCTGGTCAAGGTACATACAGGAGGCAACCAATCAATGTTTCTCTCTCTCTCTCTGTCCCTTTCTCTCTAAAAGCAATGAAAAAATGCCCTCGGGTGAAGATAAGAGAGAGAGAAAGGATAAAAATTCATGAAAACAGAAAGTAAAATAAACCCAACAGTAGAGGGGAAACAGATTAATGAAACAGAAAACATGCAAACAAGAGAGCAATAAAGCTATTAACATTGAGAGACTAGAAGATGGCGGCTTTACTGTAGGCAGCGTTTTTCTCGGCTTCTGTGAAGAGGGGGGAAACTCGCGGATCGGTGGAGAGGCAGAGCAAGTGGGCTGGGTTGCCGAATCACTTTTGAAAGCAGGACATCAGAAATTATTGCACTCACTGGAAAAACAGACGGTAAGAAGAGGGTACAGGACAAAAGGGGCCCAAGGATCAGCGCGGGGTCTGGGGTGCGCAGACCCCAGGCCCGCCCGGTGCTCCGGGCTCTTCCCCAGGGATCCCGGGAGAGGGAAGTTGCTGCCCCCTCCCTCCCCCGAATACGGGGGTGAGCAACTCCAGGAGAGAACGGGTTGCTAGAAGGAACAGATTGGCCAGTTGGACTGAGAAAAAATCGCCCAGGGAATATGAAATCCCGCCCAGAGACCGAGAAGTGAGAGCCTCTAGCCAACAGGACCAGGGGCATCTCTACCCCAGCGAAGTGCAGATCAGTGGAGAGCACAAGCCGGCAGTGCTCGGCTCGCGCCCCATAGGGAGGCAGGAATCGCGCGCTGCGATCCCAGAAGGGACAAGGGGCTGGGGGCGTTCCTTCAGTGGTGGCTCAGAGATTTCCAGCCAGCCCGACTGGGGGAGTCGGGAAAGGCGCCAACACCCGGTCAGAGTGCGGTTCGGCGGGGAACACGGAGCTGGAAACGGCTGGGCTCCCGCACCTTCATCGGGAAGACTGACTCTCTCGCACCAGTGTTTTCGGGAGCGCCCCGGTACCTGACAGACTTGCTGAGTTCTGGTTGTGAGAGAGAGAAGCATTTCAAAGGCCCCTCAGCCAGCTGAAGCTAGCAAGATCAGAAAAACTGGTCTGGCCAGTTAGAAACCAACAAGAGGTTTTTTGTTTGTTTGTTTGTTTGTTTGTTTTTTGTTTGGTTTGGTTTTTATTGGTTTCTCTGGCTGTTGTTGGTTGACTGATTTTATCTTGTGTTTTATGTGACTTTTTTTTCAATTCTCATTATTTTTATCTCGCAAACCCTTATGTTTCTCTTCCATTCAACCTAATATTATTCTTTCCACTCCAAATTTATCTCTCCTGTACCACATCTTCTGCTTTTCTTTCCTTTTGTTTTAATCTTGCAAGTTACTGTAAATTTGTATTATCTTTTTCTCCCTTTTACGACATTTTTTATTTTAATAATATTTTGGTATTCTTTTTCTTTCTGTATAATCTTCCTTGCTTGGCTGGTTATACTGTCATTTGATAGGTTCCCCCTGGTATCTCAGTCACAAGGTGTTGATAAGTTACTATCCTTCATCTGCGTTCCATTAATACACTTCTCAAGGTTCTATACTCTTTATTCTTGTTATCTAGACCTCATCGATTCTGCCACAAGACTGTCACTTTACTATTACTGCTAGCAAGACCTAGTCTATACAATTGTAAATGCTTCTCAATACCCCTACCTGATCTCAACCCACTTTGCAATTTTCTGAACTATACTATTGTGGGGGGTTGTCTCTATTCTTTTACTCACTACTCCTATATACTAATCTTTAGTCCAACCCTACCTTAGAAGCTGACCTCCCACAGCCTCACAGCTTTCTAGATCCAACTAACAATCCTCTCATCCCCAATAAGAGTCTTACCTTCTTTCCATCCTTTCTAAAAAGGTGGATAGTGGGGGTGGAGGATCACGGCTACACTATAAGGAGCCAAAGGATAACCCATCTCTTCTCTACTGGCTGCTAAAGTAAATATCATAGTATACTATCTTGCTGTTTTAAACCATTTTGCCTTACTCCTCCAACTGATCCCAAAAAAAGAGTAGGGGGAAGCTGTGACCACCAGGATACACGAAGGAGATTGCACCACTGAAACACACAAAAATTCTACCACAGAAGTTCACACCATAAATACAGGGAATCAGAACAGTTCAAATTAACAAGCAAGAAGAACAAAGAAGAAACCCACGAACAATGAGAAAACAAAGAAACAACCCCCAACTGAAGGGAAACGAGGAAGCCTCAGGAAAAATGCTAAATGAAATAGAGGCAACCCAACTATCAGATAGTGAGTTCAAAACAATGATTACCAGGAAGTTCAATGAACTCACAATGAGCTTTCAGAAATTAGAGGGAAACTACATCAATCTCACTGCAAACTATATAAACATGAAAAAGGAAATAGAAACTCTCAGCAAAGGTCAAGAGGAAATGAAGAATACAATTTCTGAACTGAAGAACACAGTAGAAGGAATGAAAAGCAGGATCGATGAAGCAGAAGACCGGATTAGCGAGCTGGAGGACAAAGTAGAAAACAGCATCCAGAAAGAGCAAGAAAAGGAAAAGAGGCTCAGAAAGAATGAGGAGGGATTAAGAGAAATGCAAGACAATATGAAACGTAATAATATCCGTATAATAGGGATACCAGAAGGTGAAGAAGAAGAGCAAGGGATCGAAAACCTGGTTGAACAAGTAATGAAGGAGAACTTCCCTAATTTGACGAGAGAAAAAGTCACACAAATCCAGAAAACACAGAGAGT